GACGGTTAATGTTAATGCCCGGCGTCCGTTGCATTCGCATTTCCTCGATCCGTGAACCGCTCGAAAGTACTTTCGCCCCAACACAGATTCTTCTTTCTCTTGCAGTCGAGTGGCAGAAGGCTATATAGTGATAGGATTTAAACCATATATACTCAGTTAGCGTAAACACACACACACAATATATATAATGGCTGCTGGTCTGGAAACTCTGCAGGGTCTGCTGCAATCGCTGGGCGAACTCAAAGATTTGCCTCTAAATCGCGAGTCGTGTAAGTATATTGTTGAATAAAAATCAGATCGGAAAATATACTCACAAAGATGATGTATATGTACAACCATCAATCTTAAGTGGTTGAGGGATTTGAGTGTGAATATGAGGGCGACCGCATGGTCAGCTGAAAATTAAATAAAACATTGAATTTCCCTAGGGGAAATTTCTTTTATTTTTGCTCCACTCTTTCTCTGCTTTTGGCCTCTCTTTTTATCACTCTCTTTCTCTGTCTCCTTGTGCTTTGTTTCTAATTGCAGCTATAATTTATTTATAAATATTCTTTTTGTGTGTCTTAGGGAAAATGTGGGAAAAGTATTTCGGCTTTTAAGGCTGACACGTTGGCTTTCTTCGAATAATTGATTAGATTGGGAAATTCTGAATTAAACCAAAATTGATAAGCACTTATTGAATGATTAATAACTTTTAGTTGCAGTTTCATTTATGATTTAGCTAATCAAAAGCTTCGTCACTTGGGTATGAATAGTGATTTTAGACTTTGATTAACCTAAAGAGTGTTTGGAAGTGATTAATGTTGGGACTCATAGAACTATCTCCAATCTGAGGGGTATGTTTTCCCTTATCAGGTTTTATTTCCTCTATAATGACATTTATTTTGATAAGGGCACCAAAGTCTTGAGTGATTTGTCATATGTAGAACTTTGACTCTTTTTAGATTTTTGGGAGTGTTTCCTAACCTTTACCTTTAAATACAAATTTAAACTCAATTCATTTTAGTATGTATGAGGTACATTAATAAAGCGCTACAATTGTGACCACAACTGTATTTCAGTTTCTTCATTTTCTTCTAATTATACAAATATTCCCTTGTTTTTGATAGGTTTTGTTTTGTTTTCTGTTTTTGTTGGTCGTTTTCAGCATCTTCTTTATTTCTTTTAATTGTTTAATAACGTTTTGGCTTATGCAATTCTTCCTGACAATGTCAGGTGCACAGAATTATTGCATTTATTTGTGTGTTTATTGGCCAACATTATGCGAATTATGTCAGCGAAAATTGCGCTCCCGCTGCGTGATATCATTTTAAGCAAAGCTTACTCATTCAAACGCGCCAAAAAAAAAGCGAAAATAAGAACGCAAAATCGTTAGAGGTGATTGGGGTTGGAATTCAAGTGTATGGGGATGATGTCACACAACAAACGCTTTTCGCATTTCACCAAAACGCAGTTAATTGCGATTTAAGCCTGGAATGGAAATGGTTTACAGTTTGCATAGAACTGTTCCGATGACGACAAGCAGTGCATTGAACCGTCGCCCGAGATAAGCAGTGTGTAAATCTTGACTCGGATTCGAGTGCAGATTTAATTTATTGATTTAAACTTGTGTGTCTTAGCATTTCCCCCATTTCGCCATTGTTGGTCACGCTCCGGAGGTATGATTCACAGTCAGTCGAAGTCGCAGCCGCAAACCGCAGCCCCACTACGTCACACAACGTAAAGCGGGCGACGTAAGTCCAATCCACTATGTTCGGTTGGGGAGCCGAAACGCGAATCCAAGTTCGTGTTCGAGGTTGACACGTTTGCTGACATATTCGCCCGCCCCCGCCCACTACTTCACCCCCTACAGACCGCTCGTACATTGTTGTTGTTATTGCGCGTTATCTTTTACTTTCAATGCGGATCGTCGACGCACCGCTCTCTTCCACTCTCACCACTCTCTCCGGATGTGTGGCTCTCTTTTCCTTACTGTGGTTTAAATAGCTACATTTTGTTTGAAATAATTCGGGACAAAATAAGAATTTAGAACTTTAAATATAAAGAAATATACTCAATCATACTTAAAGTGGAAACTTCTTCTTAAAATCCAAAAAAAAAAAAAATAATTTGTATTTCCAAATAAATTACTTTCTAAATCTCCAGCAAATTCAAATATCAATTCTCCCCACTGTGCAGCAACTGCTTGGCGCTCGCTCCCACTGCTTTTGCTATGGTTCCAGAAAACTTGTTTGCTGCCACTCTGTCTCTCTTTTGCTCTCGCTCCCTACCTATGGGCCCCCACATTCGCTGTCCCGCTCTTGCTGGCCAAGCAGCTCCCTAGCAAATTGGAGGCTTGTTGGTTTAATTTGTGCTCAAACTTCTTACAGTTCTTTCACTGCGCTCGTGTCAGACGGTCGGCCGAATCGTCTCCCCGTGCGATAGTGTGTGTGTGCGTGCTCAGCGACTAACTGACTTTCAGAGCTGTAATTAAGCCTAGACACGCGAATATTCGTCACTTTGCATACATTTTGGCGCCAAGCTAGTAACGGTTCATACCAATTCAAAATAACCAAAATGGCAGGCGGCAGCAAGCGCTACTCACGCAACAATTCCAATGGCAACTTCCAGTCACTGCCCGAGCGCGGACCAGGTAATACAATATGAAAAAATAAATCAGAAAGCTATCTCTAGCTCCTCCGCTGGCGCTTATCATTCAGCCAGGTGATGATGGGGATGGTCCACGTTGTCCACTTTGGTCTAGGGCGACGACAGCGAGCTAGCTAGCTTCTTATCTACCGAATAAAAAATATTTATTGGCCCCGTAGCAGTGATTGCTGCTGCTGGCAGCAACGTCAGCATAAGAGCAGCGTCAGCAGCGCCAACGTGGCCGAAATATCAATAAAATAAAAATTAAAAGATCCCCAAAACCTGACATAAAACCATTGGTGAACATTAAAGTTTTTTGCACATTTCCCCCGTGGTCAGTCAGTGCTAATTTTTATATAAATTTCATGAGTTTTTTTTGCCACGTTGAGAACTATGCTTGGCAACGAATATTCGCTCATCATCGTAATTTAAGCTTGCATTGGCAATTTAGTTCAGAAATAATTTAATATACACGGCAAGTACAATGTTATCAGCTTCCCCGAGGTGCTCTTATCTATGCAGTTTTTTTTGCTGGTACTGGTATATATTTTTGTATTCTTCGGAGACGCTGCACTTCACTTTCGGCCAAAACTAGTTTCAAGGCAAAACGTAAACCAGTTCCCTGCTCTCAAACATCATCATCATCATCATCGGCTCTTTTGTTCATCTCAAGTTGCAATTGTATCAAAGTCTTGGAATTGGTTCCAATTGATACTTTGGTAACTTTCTCTCGCGAGAGAGCTCTTTAAGTTTAACCCACTTCAGGGCTCAACATATTGTATGTATTGTGTATGCTGCCATCTCATCACCAGTAGTGTCTCCTTTCTAATTTATTTTCCCGGCTATTTACATAATTTCATTCAGATCGTGTCTGTGTCTGGGTTAGCAACGTTAGACAAATTCGAATTTGAATCCGAATCCAAGCCTAAAACAAGTTTAACCAACTTTTTTGTTGCTGCACCTCTCTTTCTTAATATTTGTTTAGGTGTACATATATTCTATATTGAAATGTCACCAAATGCGGATGTTATGAAATTGTTAACTATGGTTTTAGCCAATAATTTGTAGTCTAAAGATTGAGGTAATCAAGTTATTTTGATATAGATTTAAGGTAGATCGTACAGGTACATTTTTGAAACTTTAAAGAAGGTTTTAAGACCAACAGAAAAGAACTAATTTAGGGATATATACCTAAGCAGTAGTAGGTTCTGTTTTAAGGATATACTTCCTTAAAGCAACTTTTGTTCATTATTTTAATTAAAAATGAATACCAAACATTAATTTAAACAACAAATTTCAAGCTATAACTTTGATTGTCGATTATAAAGATAACCTATCTTAATTACCATTCATTAAAGGTGCCACCTTTCTTTTCTTCTTTCCCCGTACAAATCAGTTCCTATTAATTCCCACCTTTCAATGGGGCAGCCAGCAAACAAATCCAATAGTTCCAACACTTGAAAGTGTATATTTATAGAATCTTCGTTTGTTTGAGTATCTTAATTGGGTTAAACCCAGACGTCGTGGGGGCACCGACTTCTTATCGCTAAATCCAAATGCCAATGAAAGCGAATGGAGCTGAGATGGCAAAGATATAGAAGTGTTTACGTCAGCGGTTCTGTATATCCGCTGGATATATTCCGGCACGAGCTGGAGGAGAATGTTTAAATCGATTCTTAGGCGTGTTTCGATTCATTTCCGTTCCACGCACTTGGACACTCATTTAGGCGCCGCCGCCGCTGCTCTTTTCATTCGCATTAGCATTCTCTTCTAGCTCTCTTTAATTTTCCGGCTGGGTCCGGAAAATTTTAACTCTTCCCTCTAGCCATTCTTTTATACGTTCCGCTAAATAATATTTCTCTAGTGTGTAGAACTTGGCAACGGACGTCAAACGTCGCACCGCGAACGAACCGCGATCCGCAGGAAAAACGGAAAACCCGAAAGAAGAAAAATGTCGAACAAATTGTGTGAGTGAACTGAACCCACCGCACACGAGTGTTGTTGTTGGTTGGTAGTTGGGGTTAAAATAATATGAAAAGCTATAGAGAAGAATGAAATGAAAATGCCAACCGATAATTACCAGCTAAGCAGCTGGGGTTGCCGTGCAGCTCGAATCCATTGCAGAGATTCATCTATTTATCTCATAGATTGCATAATTGCCGCCAGCTGAAAAGATATATCTACACATATGCGTATGCCTGTGTATATTTTGGTATCTGCTTGCCATCCACTTTATCTCTTTTTTGTCTTTTCTGTGAGTGTTTATGAGCTCTATAAATTGGGAAAATGAAAAGAATCATATGTGTATCTCTCAGATATTCTACCACGCACAGTAACTAATAATGAATCGAACCCTTTGCTTACCTTTCCAGTGGAATCCCTGATCTACTGGCGCGATGTGAAGAAGTCCGGCATTGTTTTTGGCGCCGGCCTGATCACACTGCTGGCCATCTCCAGCTTCTCGGTGATCAGTGTCTTTGCCTACTTGTCGCTCCTCGCCCTTTTCGGAACCGTGGCCTTCAGAATCTACAAATCTGTGACACAGGCCGTGCAAAAGACAAACGACGGACACCCCTTCAAGTGAGTTGGTTAAATTAAATATATCAATTGAAATATTAATTTAAATTTGTACATTTTTTAGAGAATACCTGGAACTGGATCTGACGCTGTCGCAGGAGAAGGTGCAGAACATTGCCGGCGTGGCTGTGGCACATATCAATGGCTTTACCGCGGAGCTGAGGCGTCTGTTTTTGGTTGAGGATCTCATCGATTCGATCAAGTTTGGCGGTCTTCTGTGGGTGTTCACCTACATCGGTGCCTGGTTCAATGGCATGACTCTGGTCATCTTGGGTTAGTTTCTGGATTAACCATATTACCACAAGCCGGATTAATACCCTATTTCTTATATACACACAGCCTTTGTTTCGCTGTTTACCTTGCCCAAGGTCTACGAGAACAACAAGCAATCGATCGACACCTACTTGGATCTGGTGCGCAGCAAATTGACAGAGATCACCGACAAGTAAGTGGGGAGAGCCTTAAGATCCCTTCATATATTTATACTAATTACTTGATTCCCATTTAATCCAGGATCCGAGTGGCCATTCCCATTGGCAAGAAGCCAGTGGCTGCCGCTGCCGAGTCTGACAAGGACAAGTAAAGAGATCCCGCAATTAGCTACAGAAACAACAACAATAATACAATGTTTATTTATTTATTAAGCTTTAATTTTGAATGGTTTTAATATTCATCCAGGCATTAAATAAATAACAAGTCTTAGCGGCAATGTTTACATATTAATTGTATAATTGCAATCTACATCTACAATCGATAATTGTAAAGCCAATTCAACAAATTTCAACCCAAACTTATCAACCAATAATAACTTGTAGCAGTTGCAAATATTGTCCAACGTGTCTTTAAGTTTTTAACGAACGAAACAAAACATAAAACAAACAAAACAAAAAAACCAAGAAACATAGTGAAGAGTGAAAAAAGATCATATAGGCGCAGCAATGCAATTAAAACATTTTCGAGCTCCAGTAATTTTCAATTCAAATCAAACATCATGATTTTTTTAGTTTTCTATTATTCTGAAACTTCTTTCTTAATTAATTAAATCTTTGCTTTAGTTTTAGTTTTACTATTGTGTTGATTTTTTTGTATAAAACAACAAGAAGAACTAAGAAGATTACTCTTAAAACAAACAACAAGAAAAAATCAAATAAAAAATGAAGTAAAAAAATCCACAACTAATGATTTTTGTGTTTTCTAGCATTTTTTAATAAAAAGAACAACAAGAAAAATATTTATACATACATAATATATAAGTAAGCTGATCCGTAAGTCATTAAGCACGCAACTCATCTCGACGAATGCAAAATGGTGGCCTAAATGGTGGACCAAAGGAAGGAGCTTGAAGTCTTCATTTTTTTGGCGTGAATCATAAAATAAAACCTTAATCATAAAATAATGATGAATTTCGAGCAGCTTTACCGCTTCATTTCGCATCAAATGGCCTTGTTTCAATAATTGTACAATTAATTTGTAAGCATTTTACATGGAATTAAATCAAATATTTAATGCAAATCTACATTTGTTGCTTCAAATGTTCATTATTACTATTAATTATTACTCTGTAACTCTTTGTTGCTTGATTGTTGAGAGGTCTTTGAGTTTTGAGTCGAGTCCCCACATCTAGATATATGTGCATGTGCTGTACTGTACTTTAGGCGTTCTTCTAAACCAGACTAAAATTCATACATACATATATACCAATAGATATTTTTGCAAATTAATACACTCGATATATATATGTATACAAAACGAAAGTGAGATAAAACCAAGACATCGCCTGAAGAGAGAACGAAATGAAATTTTTAAGTGCAACCAACTTTTCGAGGGTTTTTCTTTAGTTTAGTGCAACTTTACATACACACCTATGTAATCGCAAACAAAAAAAAATAAATAAAAAACAGGAAAGAAAGAAACAGCAGCAAAAGATAACACAAAATATGTAAGTTTGCTATGAATAGAGATCGAGATAAAAACAAAAGAAGCGCGCTCTAAAACGTATTTAATTCTATGAATGAGACAACACAACTGCAACAGCAGTTGGCTATGATCGTAAAGTTTCAATAAAAATAAACTCTTATAAAAGTATATCACTTTAACCATTCTTTTATTTGTGGATTTATACCCATTATTATTTTAGTTTAATTGTTTGTAAGGTAAAAATAGTTATGGGAACAAAAGTACAAGAACCAAATCTACACATCTCCTGGGACAAATACCACCTGCAAATCAGCAAAGGAGTCATTTTCGACCCCATAAATCATATATATTCTTGTTCAGCATCAATATCCGCCTCTATCTATCTATGTTCGGTCGAAAAAAAATTGACATATTTTAGATTTTTTCAAAAAAAGATAAGAAGTTGTTACATCGTTAATATTTTCAAAAATTGTCAAACAATTTTCCGATTGTTCCTATGGCAGCTATATGTATATATGTATATATATAGTCCACCGATTCGTCATGCTCCGACTTATATACTAGTAAAATTATATAGAATAAAAACTCCATAGATTCATTGAAATAGCTTAAATTTGTTCCAAAACAAATCTCGCACGTCTGTGCATATGATTCCCAACTAGTTCTAACATCCCCGGAACGAAGTGACTTCTATTGGCCATGTCTCAAATATGTGTTGTGTTACAAAGTTGCAAGTCATTGTTTATTAGTGTTCAAAGTTAGTAACTGATCATACATACTTACTGGTCATAGATTCTTACTGATCATAGTTACTTATTGGTCATAGATACTTATCGTTCAGAGTTACTGCTCATAGTTAATTACTGGTCATAGATTATTACTGATCATAGTTACTTAGATACTTAGTTCAGAGTTAATTACTTGTCATAGATACTTACTGGTCATAGATACTGATTGTTCATCGTTATCATATCATCATGTCATATGATTCCCATCTAGTTCTAACATCCCCGGAACGAAGTGCCTTCTATTGGCCATGTCTCAAATATGTGTTGTGTTACAAAGTTGCAAGTCATTGTTTTAGTGTTCCAAGTTAGTAACTGATCATACATGCTTACTGGTCATAGATACTTACTGATCATAGTTACTTAGTGTTAAGAGTTACTTACTGCTTATATTATATTTTCGGTCCCTGATGCAATTCCAAACTCGGCACAGTTCACAAAACTCGTCTTCCCGAAATTAACTTCCTTCTTCTACCATCTCTTTTTCAATCCTTTAGTTTCCAAAACCAAATAAATAAACGACACCAGCAACATTTACATTTGAATATATTTGCAATATTTAATATGACTTCAATTTCTTTAGTTTCATTTCGCCTAGCTACAGATGAAAACTTTCGTATAATGTGTATAACAATCAATAATCGTTTAGGATTAGTTTGGTTTTTGTTTTCATTTTCTTGTTAAACTTTTATAATACAAATACAAACATTTGTTCATTTACAATTCGAAATATATATATATGAAGACTTTTTATTTAAAATTTGTATACGCATAGCGCTACTGACTTGAGTTTATTATTTGATTTTAATTCAACATGGTACAGCATCTGATTTAATTTAAGTTTATATATAGTATAAGCAGACATATATAGCTTATAGGATGTCGTCTATAACACGCTTTTGATTACGGTAATTGTGTAATTAGTATTTAGTTTTGATTAGTAGTTGGTAGTTGAGGAGCAAACGATGATCGATTGGAATGTGAATGTGGATGCGAATGCGAATACGAATTTTGTTAGAGAATACTTTTAAGTTCCGATTATATAATAAATTTGGCCAAATATATCTTTTGCTAGCACACGAATACAACAACAACAACAGCAATGCATATACACACAGTTACTAGAATTCAGTTTTGATATGATCATGAATCACAACAATAGGTTCTATATATCCAATTATCCATGGAATTAGTGGAATAATATACACAATATATGTATATGTATATGAGTAGGCGTAATATCAATGACACATTAACGCTGTCTGTACATAGTTCCAGCTCTCTCGCTTTGATTATCATCTTGTAAAATAATTAACAATGGTGTTTTTTGGTTAAAAGTTTGCTTTCGAAAAAGATCAACATAAAAAACTTTCCAAAAGTTATCAAAATCAAATAAAAAAGACATTCTTTGGAACGATTGCAAGCTTAATACCGATAAAAACAATATTTTCATATAGTTATAGTTAAAGATTTAGCTCTCCGCGTGTATATATATACGTATAGCTCTTTGTATAAGTGTAAGTATAAGTTTAAGTATAAGTAAGTATGACGAACGGCAACGTGAAAAGTGTCCGTGTTCGGTACGGCTCAGTCTTCTGCTAAACTCAAACTCAAAATCGAATGGCGATGATGTTGAGGACGTCATGGGCATTTTAATATAGATATAGAGGTTTCCCTATCACGACTGACTATCGGCATACGTTGGCTGACTGACTTAAGGCTAGGCATTGTTGTTCTCGCCGCAGCATTGTATGCAGTCCATGCAGTTGTGCTACCTGTTGCCATCACTCTTTCTGTTCATATTCGATGAGGTCAGTTGTACCTATAAGGAAACAAGATATTTAGCAAAATCTAGTACAAATTGGACTAAAGTAAAAAGACAAGCAGAAAGCGTGTGAAAAGTTTGGCATGCTAGCAAGGCAAGGCTCAAGGCGTGCTTGGGCATTAACTGACCTTCGATCCTTGCATTATTATTATTATTTGTGGTGTTCTTAAGCTTAATGTGTCTCAACTTTACGCACACAACACAACGCAACAAACAGGAAGAAGGTGTTTCAAAAAGGTGAACAATACATCCAACAAAGTTAGAGACAGTGAGAACAGTGAGAAAGAAGCTCTGATATATCCTACGCTTAATTTACCTGCAACGAACGTATGGTGTCCAGTAGAGCCTTCTTCTCCTCCAACAAAATGCTAATGTCATCCTGGGCAGCCTTTAAATATGAACGCAGAACATCCGTCTCCTGTTTGGTCCTTTGCCTATCGGATTCATAGTTTATAAAATTAATATTTATATAAGCTTATGCTTTTTGCTATTACCTATAGTTATCCGTGTTCACTTTTGAGTCAACCAACTGCCTGCGCAACTGGTCATTGTCCAGCTTCATTTGTTGCATCACCAGCTGCATGGATAGCAGCTCCCGGTCCCGTTCACGCGGTGCTCCAAATAAGGCACTACCCAAAGCCTGATGCTGGGCGGTACTCATGTTTGTATCTGCCAAAAAACAATCTTTATATAAACATTACTTATAAATTTTTGTGTCCCACCAATGGGCTGGATATTGAGCACTCCGGTCTTATCTCGTTCGAGGCGCATGCGGCCAATGCACAGATTAATGGGCACGGGACCCGGTGAGGTAATATTAACGGGCGGACGATCTTCCAGCAAATTGATGCGAACGTTTTCCACATTTACCTAAAGACAAGTAGGTATAATTTATAATAAATGTGGTCTCTTGAAAGAGAAACATTACACTTACAGTGATTGGCATTGGCGGTGAGATGACTTCATCCTCGGCCAGATCCCCCAGACCAATTACAGTGCTCATTGACAGGTCCATATTGATATCTTTCACTCGGATCTCGGCATGGTGAGTAATCCAGCTGGAATTTGAATTTAAAAATTGAATTATATTTCATGTTTTATGTTATATAGCAGCAGGTTTAATCTCTCTCACCTTTGGATGCGCTTGCGATCAATGAGGCCCTCAATTTCCTTGGGCATGTCCAATGTCTCCTCCATGCGCAGACGGATGCAGGGTGGAGCCTCTGGATTGTACGGCGCCAGATTCCAGGCCTTGCAACGCGCTCCGAACTTGGTCTGAGGTTTGGGGGTTAGAGAGTTAAAATCAGTATAGTATAAGGTCCCATAAAGGCTGAAATCTTGATGATAGACTACGTTTGGAAACAGCTAGAGGAACAACATGCAAAGCTGAAAGCACACCCATGCAATGTGGGTATGAGTAGAGTGTGTGAGTTAGATTGTGTGTGGTGTATTCATGTGGCTT